CTCACGTCCTTGGCCCCGGGCTGCCCTAATCCCAGTCTCGTGTCCTGAAGCCAGAAGATAAGGGGCAGCTGCAGCCCCAGATAAAGAAGGCACAGCCACAAATCCGGGGCGGCCCTGGCAGCAGCGGGCACCAAGCCCGGGCTGCACCTGCCTTGCTGCTGCCAACCCCATTCCGCCTGGCAGAGAGGGATGGAGAGAGGGCCAGGGGAAGTGGAGGGGAGGGCCAGGGGGAGATGGAGTGGAGGGGCTGGGGGAGATGGAGGGGAGGGGCTGGGGGAAGGGGCAGAGAAGAGGAGAAAGAGCCAGAGAGATGCAGAGACACACAAGAAAGAGAAATGTAGAGAGAGATGAGAGACGTAGAAGGAAAGAGAAATGCAGAGAAACACAGAGAATGAAATACAGAAAGAGCCCCCCCAAATTGGGACAGAAACAGGAAAAATAAAAGAGCAAGACAAAGGCAGAGAGGGCTAATGACCGAGCAGAGCGCCAGGGGCGCCTCCCCAGCCCCGCCCTGCCCCCACTGGGTGCCTCAGTCTCCCTACCCGCTCAGGGGCCCCAGCACCACCTGCCTCCTTCCTACTTTGAAGAATGACCTCGGATCTGGTTCAGGGTTGGGGTACACCTTTCTTAGTGTCCCCACACTCTCCAGGGTGACTTCTGGAAAGGCTTCCGACACCGGCCACAGCCTCAGTGAAGATGGGACCCCTAGAGCAGGACCCGACCCTTCTGTGCCTCAGTTTTCCCAGCCATGATAGGATATATTCACTCAGGAAGTGCTCATTGAGCACCTACTGTGTGCTAGGCCCTGTGCTGGGCACTGGGGACAGAGTGACCCAAGAGGACCCAACTCCCACTCTCTCTGGGTTCACAGTCCAGTGGGGAAGATAGGTGTGTGGCCAGGTAACTCCAGGATGATCAGGGTGAATAGGGGACACTCTGGCAGCTACAGAGCCTGTAGGGAGTGCTGGACCCATCCCTAGCAGGGGCCACTCAGAGAATCTTCCAGAGGAAGAGGAGGTGAGTGGAATGAGCAAAGTGACTGGGAAAGGGAACAGACTTCCTGGAAGAGGGAACAGCATATGCGAAGGCCAGGAGGTAAGACTGGCTCATGGGAAGTCTGGAATGAACTCGGTGCTTGAGTTTAGGGAGTCAGGGGCAATAGAGGAAGGCAGCAGGGGCTGGGGCGTGCAGGTCCGGAGCTGGGGCAATAGGGAGCCAGGGGAGCAGGGGAGGGCCAGGGTGAGACTATGTTTTAGAAAGGGCTGTGGGAGACTGGGCCGTTGGGGGCAGGATGGGAGATTGAGGCCCGGAAGGTGGGGTGATAGAAGGGACAAACCGGAGAGAGACTCTAGAGGGAAAGTAGGCAGGACGTGGGGACCGACAGGCTGTCAGGGGAGAGGCGGGAGGGGAGAGTGATGCACCGATCGCTGGCTCAGGATGGCACCTGGTCAAGGGACCACTGCAGCCTGTGGATTCAGGTGAAAGTGGGAAGAATGCCTGTCCCCTCCACGTAAGGTCAGAGAGAGAATGAGTTAATGCATGAAAAGGGCTCATTGGTACACAGGAAGTACTCAATAAGGGTTTACCTACTGGTAAAAAATTAATATTGTTGTTAAAATAATATAATGATAATAAGCAGTTAATATGTTGTTAATATTAATACCACAGTTATCGATGGTCAGTCCATAGCGCCCCCCCCCTTACAGGAAGCCTTCCTGGATTGCCTTACAGAGAGCAGGGCAGGCCACTGCAGTGCAGAGCCAGGGAGCCCTGGGAGAGCTCTCCTTGGAGGCGGATGCCCAGAGAGGGAAGGCCAGATTCCTAACCTGTCGTCTCCCCAGACTGGTTTGAGGTGCCTGTGGGACAAGGGGAGACTACTGGGCAATGGGACGGGCACCTCGGGTAGGAGTGAGTTCCTGTCCCTGGAGGTGGGTAAGGCAGGCTGGGCAAGAAGTCTCTCAAGGACTGCTGCAGTTTCTTCTAGTTTTAGATTCCTGATTCCACCGTTTTATTCCCAGATTGTCCTACAGAGGGCAGCCGAGGCCAGAGATGGAGACCAACTGCTCTGCCCCGCCCCCCACCACTTACATTTTCTCCCAGGTCTTGGAAAAGCTGGTTCTGAGCCTGTTGTGGCCTCAGGCGAATCTTTTCCCTCCTTGCACCTTAGTTTCCCCATCTATTGTGCAAGGAGCACAGTCCCTCCCCAGAGGAAGCTTTGTCGAGTTTAGCAGAGAAACGCAAGGGCATCTCAGAGATTGGTTGCTCCCGCCCAGGACTGCATTCATGTAATTCTGGGCAAACGACAGTAATAGAGTAATAACAACAGTAGTCGTTAACATTTATTGATTGTTATTTCTTAAATGCTTATCTTTCAATGTAGGGTAAGAGAACTAAAATGTTATATCAAGCTACATTCAGACTGTGACGTGCTGATCGGCTCCGCGGCCAGGCCAGGACACCTGCAGAACGAAGGCAGGTTTCTCTTGCGACTGCTGACGACCCCTCTCCCCACACCTGTGAAGGGGGAGCAGGAAAAACAGTCTTGAAATGGCTGCCCTATAAAAATAAAATCCTTCGTTTCCTATGGCTGAAACCACAGGGACCCTGTGGATTAAAGGCTGGGAGCTGCCCGCAGGCCTTTTCACGCCACACACTCCTGTCCTTCCTGTGTGTCCATTTCAAAGGAAATGGGTAAATAAAGTCTTTAAACTGTAACTCACAAGAACTAAAAAATGATATATAAACTGAATTCCTCAAACTCTGGGGGTCCGTCTATCTTTACTCTGTCCCTCTGTGTCTTTCTCTCGGCCTCACTGTCTTTGTCCCTCTGAATCTTAGGCCCTCTTTCTCTGCCTCTGAGAGGAGACCACGCTTTGTCTATGGAGTGTTACTCCTCTAGTAAACTTTCCTTTCGACTCTAACTTTGAAGTGTGTTTGAATTCTTTCTACACTCTCTGCCAAGAACCCTTCTCTCTCGGTGCTGGGCTTGGTCTCTCCCAACTCAGGGGAATTTGCGTTGTCCTGCATCATTTCTAAAAGAGAGATTTGTATCAGCCCCATTTTTCTGACGAGGAGACTGAGGCACAGAGAAGTTAAACGTTTCCACCTGGTCAGTGGAAGGGCTGGGATTCGAACCTGGCAGGCTGAGTCCACGGCCCTGATAACCCTGTGCTGCATCAAGCCTTGTCCAGGAACAGGGAGTGTGAGGGGCACACCAGGCATGTTGGCGACCGTCACAGATAGTGACTAGATTCTGCCCTCCTTGGCTGAGAGCCTCCCACCTCCCTCAGGGCAAAATCCTAGGTCCTCCCAGAAGCCCACAAGGTCCTGTGCCCCGTCCCCGTTCCCTCTGTCCTCATGTCCTCTCTCCCCGCAACTCACACTGCGCCAACCACGTTGGGCTGTTTCTCCAACGCGCCAGGCACGGTCCTACTTCAGGGCCTTTGCACGGGCTATTCCCGCCACCTGGACACTTTTCCTACTATATCCCTATGTCTCTCTCCCTCGCTTCTTTCAAAAGTACTCAAATGTTACTTTCTCAGCTGAATAAGCTTTCCCTGACCATTCTATTAAAAATTACAACCGAGCGGCCCTCCCGCTTCCCCTTCCCTGCCTCATTACCGCTCGACATATGGCATCATTTACTTAGTCATTATGTTGACTGTGGGCCTTCTCCTCTAAGTGCAGGGATTATTTTTTTGGTCTGTTTTGTTGACTGCTGTATCCCCGGCATTTCGGACTGCGTCTAGTACACACGTGCTCAACAAATTATTTGTTGGATGAAAGCCCCCGCATAAAAGCAGTGGAATTAAATTTTTAAAAACCCCAAGAAGGAAAACAAAATACTTCCGTGGCCCGACTGCGATCCGCGGGAGGCCACTTAGCAGGCGCCGGGAGGACCAACGAACGTTTCCGAATTCGCCGCAGATGGCTCAGCGGAGGCCGGACCCGTCGTCACCGCCCCCCCACAGACTCCGCCCCCGCTGCGTCGACGCTCAGGCTCCGCCCCCGCTGCGTCGACGCGCGTACAATGGCGTCCCTCAGAGCGCCCGGACATGCGCACTTCCCCGGCACGAGCGGGAGGACACACGCGCGACCCGGAAGGCCTTCCCCCACACTCCGAAGCCGGCGCGAGGGGGGCCGATGGCGGAGAGTGCGGCGGAGGCCCCAGCAAAGAATGGCGGCGGCGGCGACTCAGGATCCGGCACACTGGAACGGGGAGTGGCGCCCATTAAACCTCAGTGAGTCGCCGGATCGGGCGGTGGAACCTCACGAGACCTTCCCGGCGCCCGTGGCGCGGCCGAGCGGTGCATGCTGGGAGATGGGGCAGGCCCGGGGCGGGAAGCTCGCAGGTTCTTTAGTCTGGGCAGTTCCTCAGCAACAGGACCTGAGAGAGCGCACGTTGCAGGCTGTCACATGCACTAAGGACGCCACGGGGTACGCTAGCGTGGGCGGGGTTTAAGGCGAGGGCCACAGTGCATGCTGGGGACTGTAGTCCCAGCGTCTGGCGGGACTGGTGCATGGGGACCTCCGGGTAGCCAGTTACACAGGCTCAGACTTGTGTCTAAAACGAGTACCCTGGGCAGGATGGCGCTTGTAGGGCTGAAGGGTGTGCTGCGAAATGTGGCAGCTCTGGTTCTCATTCTAAGGCATGCTGGGGCATGTAGTTTCTTTTAGCCTAACGGGGACAGGGATGTTCAAGTTTAATGCTTTTAATTTGGCTCAACGTTGACTCTGGGTCGTGGAGACCCAGAGACAAAATATGCCCTGCCTGTGGCCTTGAGGTGCTCCCAGGCTGGCAGCTGGCAGGTTCTAGGTAGTAAGCTGCTCATCGGAATCATGTGATCAGAGGCAAGTGTTCTCTGTCCCTTTCCTTAGTGTTCATTGAGTTTGAACTCAGGGGAGGGACTTCCTAAACAAGTCCTCCTTTCCCTTTGCCGGCAGATACCTCACCACCAAGGAGCAGTTCCACAAATTTCTGGAAGCCAGAGGTCAGGAGAAGCCCAGCCAGGAAACCGACGCAGGAGATCCTGATGGCTGTGACCTGGCTGAGCCTGAGGCCAAGCGGATCCGACTGGAAGAAGGGCAGGTGGGAGATGGGCAGACAGAGGAGGCAGCTGAGCCCAGGGAGCAGCCTCAGGCTCAGAAGAGAGCCCGGGGCCAGAACAAGGGCCGGCCCCACGTGAAGCCTAACCACTATGACAAGAATAGGCTTTGCCCCTCCCTGGTCCAGGTGAGTGTCAGTGTCACCAGAACGTCTCAGAGGCCTTTGGTCTGAGCCTCTCTGTCCTCCGTTCAGTTTTCACGATGTTATGACATAAATGTTGTCAGTGTACCCATCTTCCAGGTGAAGAAACTGAGGCACAGTTACTGACTTGCCTAAGCACACACAGTCAGGAGGGGAGGCATCTGAGGTTCGAAGCCTGGCTGTGAGGCACAGTTACTGACTTGCCTAAGCACACACAGGAGGGGAGGCATCTGAGGTTCAAAGCCTGGCTACCCCAGCCTCTCCCTGTCCTCCCTCACTGCCTCTGTTTCCCTGCAGGAATCGGCCACGAAGTGTTTTTTTGGCGACCGCTGCCGCTTCCTGCATGATGTGGGCCGCTACCTGGAGACCAAGCCTGCTGACCTGGGCCCCTGCTGTGTACTGTTCGAGACCTACGGCAGGTGCCCCTATGGTGTGACCTGCCGCTTCGCTGGAGCCCACCTGGGGCCCGAGGGCCAGAATCTGGTGCAGAGGGAGGTGGCCCAGGCCCCTCCCGTTCGCAACGGCCTAGACAAAGCGCTGCAGCAGCAGCTGCGAAAGCGTCAGGTCCACTTTGAGCGTGCTGAGCAGGCCTTACGCCAGCTAGGCAAGGGCCACCTGCCAGGCCCCATCCCTCCTGCCACAGTCCCTGAGGGTGCCCCAGGGCAGGACATCTGTGACACCCAGCAGGCCCCCCTGGAGCCAGGCACCAACCCCCCTCCCGGCAGCCCTGTGCAAACCTGTGGGCCTTTGACGGATGAAGACATAGTCAGGCTGCGGCCCTGTGAGAAGAGGCAGGTATGTGTCTCAGGCTGCCCATTGAGGACACTAGCAGTGTGGGGGGCAGAAGGCGCCGAACACACGCTCTCAGCCCCAGAGAGTCAGGGCTGGGGCGCTGGGCCTGGGGTTTTGGTGGCTGAGTAGAAGCTCTCCAGTAGAGACCGTGGAGGAAGGAATGTTTCCCACAAAGGGGCTGGTGGCACGTGCAGAGGCCCAGAGGTGGAAGGGCGCCCAGCCAGCTGGGCGGAGCAGGGCGTGTTCTAGATTGTGGGGAGAAGGGAGGCCCTGCGAATCGGGGTAGAGGCTGGAGGCTAGCTGTGTTTTTCTTCCTTCCAGCTCGACATCAGTGGCAAACTGTACCTGGCCCCCCTCACCACGGTAGGGCCTGTGTGGGGTGGGCTAAGTGCCCAGTACCTGCTGGTCTCAGGGCTGGGGTGGAAATCTGGGGCCCCTGCCTGTCACACCCTCACACGCACGTGTTCCCCGCCACCCCAGTGTGGGAACCTGCCCTTCCGGCGGATCTGTAAGCGCTTCGGGGCCGACGTGACGTGCGGGGAGATGGCTGTCTGCACCAACCTGCTGCAGGGCCAGACGTCTGAGTGGGCCCTGCTCAAACGCCACCAGTGCGAGGATATCTTTGGTGTCCAGGTCGGTGCCGCCGCAGGCGAGGGAGGAAGAGAGGGAAGAGGGGCTTAGGCTGCCAAGATTTGGAGCAAGGTTCAGGGTCCGCTCTCTTGGATCCCAGGCCTGGCTCGGTCACCTCCCAGACCCCTCTTGCTTCAGTGAGGGGCTGGGGACACCAGCCTGATGCACCTCGGAGCACCGATGGCTTTGGCATGGGGCCAGGCAGGGACAATCAGAACTGGCCCCTCACCTGCCACCCACTGTGCCACCTGCCACAGCTGGAGGGCGCCTTCCCTGACACCATGACCAAGTGTGCAGCCATTGAGGTGGACTTTGTGGACATCAACGTCGGCTGCCCCATCGACCTTGTGTACAAGAAGGTAACGGCCACTTGGCCCTGGCACCCCAGAGCAGGCAGAGTGGGAAGGGTGGGGGCCTGGGACCCGGCCTTGCCCCTGACTGAGGTACTGGGGACCTTTGGAGGCCTCCGTGCCTCAGTTTCCCCACCTGCACAGTAAGGGCAGCTAGGCGTGGCGGGCCCAGCCTGAGCCCTGCCTTCCCCTGCTCCAGCCGCCCGTCTCTCCCAGGGCGGGGGCTGTGCTCTCATGA